CTTGTTACTACTAGTAAGGCACTTGTTACTAGTAGCTTCTTGTTACTGCTGGTAAGGCACTTGTTACTACTAGTAAGGCACTTGTTACTAGAAGCTTCTTGTTGCTACTAGTTACTAGTAAATCTTTCGATGGTCTGTGGAAAGTCTCTTCACAAAAAGGATGTCCTACTCTCAGTGTTCTTTCCGCGTGTGCAAGGAAGCCTCGGCGTCGGCGTCTCTATAGAAATCTCTTCAGAAATCTTGTGCTACCCAGCGTCGCATTGGTAAATTGGTGAAGAGCTGGTCATTTTCGGACCAATTTGAAGCTCATCAACATTTTGGCCTCAGCTTCTTTCAGCATCACATTGCATGAAAGAAGAAGATCTGAGTTCGCCAGTGTGCCCGTGGTGTACCTGTAGTCCTTTTTTGGGCCAAGGAACTTGGATCCTCCATGGACCAGCCCAAGCTCGAGAAAAAGCCTTCAGCCATACTCTCGGCCTTGTCCTTCACCTGCAGCAAAGAGCGAAGCTTCCAGCTGCTCAGGATGTTTCTCAGAGTGTTCTTCACGAGGGACAAGCTGCAAGTTCATTAGTGACTATGACATGAATCAGTATCTGTCACCGGTCATGTCCTGCTTGCCCAAGCTGATGGCCCAAGGGGCCCTGCCCGTACGCTGTCAGCTCTCCGGGGAACGACCGACCGGGCCTGGCTCAAGTCCCCGATGCCGGGGGTCATGCTCGACTGGGCCTCACGGTTCCACCGAGCAAGCAGATCTCAACCGACTTGGCATGGAGCAAAATCTCTCATCATGTCATGAAACAACGAAATCAACGAGCCAAAACACGACAGAAAAACATGGAAAAACAAAACAAAAGAAACGCACACAAAACAGCGTGAGTTGCAGAGACCTTGCAGAGACCTTCCTGTGACTTGTTTTGGAAAAAATATCCGACTTCTGACAAGCTTCGACGGTAATCTCCCCGTCAGTCTCGATGCCAATTTGCTCGGCTGGTCCATCTGGATCTACACGGTAGAGTACGCCTGGGGCGGTGCGAAGCAACTCGGCGTAGGTTTGGCCGTGTTTTTCAGGCGAGGCGGCGTTTTGGTGAGCAGCTTCGGTAGATGAAATAGCCTCAACACCTGCTTGCATAGTTCATAACGCATTCAGTATCTTCAGTGTTCATTGCCCCCAACTGCAAATGGCCTGGTCTTCACACGTTCCCTTCATGAAAAACATTGAAAAACCATGAAGCCAAGCCAGCTCTCCAAGAAGACCCGGCTCGGCTTAACCGGCTGAAACGAAGGAAGCTAAGCTCTCCGGCTTCGAAGACACGGCTCTTCACTCAGCCGCCGTTTCGCATCGCGCGGCACCGAAACTGAGGCCAGCACCAATATCAGCGCGGCCTCGCTGCTCATCCTGAGGACCGGATCGTCTTGTCTCGTATTGTCTTGCCAATCAGGAACCCTTGTGAAGGTCAAGAAGTTGAAGAAAGTCTACTTGATTGCCCTTAATCAGGCCATTGCATTTCAGCTCTTGAGAATGCTGGTCAACCGGAACAACATGCGATGTTGTGGATATCAGTTCTCCAAATGCTTTGCATCTTGTGCATTTGGCGGGTGGCTCTCTCTGTGTCTGTGTGTGTGTGCGTGCGTGTGTCACCGCCTCTTCAGTGTTTGCTACGTTTTACGCTCGCACAGCACTTACATCGCATCACCAACAAACTTCAAAGAAAAGTACAAAACACCAACAGTACAAATGATGTACCCAACTTACAGTATGGTGCAATCACACGAAACAAATCAAAAAGGGTACATTAAGACTCACGAAGGTCCACTGATGTAACTTACCTTTACAGCCAATACCGGAAGAAAAGCTAGGGTTCTCCAAAATGCCCGGGGTTTTCACGGGGGTTGCGTTGATCGTCTTTTTTGATTGAAACGCACGTGCAAACTGTTTCTGGCAATTTCTTGCTAGAGTATAGAGAATACGGGTGTCAGTTCAGAAGATGTTCGTTTTTGGGCACCCAAAAGTCGTTCGACATCTGACCTCCAAACCCGTGATAGTGTTTCACGGGTTCGCACGGCTAAAATCATGGGTTTTGCCTGGGTAAATCACGGGTTTGAAAAGATAGGTTGTTTTTTTAAGTAATAACGGTCAATAACGGTGTTTTTTCAAATATATCACGGGCTAACACGAGTAAATCACGGGTTCAGCACGGGTAAACCACGGGTTCTACCTCACACCTGAACTGTTCACGATATATTTCAACAAAGTGTCAACAAAACATAGCAATGGAACGAAATGGAATGAAAAAAACTATTGTATAACCACCCGGATTGTTCAGTATGTAAAGGAATACAACCAACTTTACCTCAGCAGGCAGATTGAGAGAATACCCTTGGTTTTCCTGGGAAACGATGTTTTTCCAATTTTACAAGAATAGCCCGGGTTTGTCCGCATACCCGAGGACAAGTTAGGGTTCCGGCTGGCAGGGTATATATATATATATAACACCTAAGGAGCGATGGCCTCCAAATTAATAGCAATGGCCTCCAACCTCATAGCGATGCCCTCATATATCAATTCATTACCTCCCCCAGGGCGCTCCTCTGCAGATTGACAGCTGCAGCAGAACAAGCGCCTCGACTCGATGCAGAACACGCGGACCGCGGACCGCCCGGAAGAGCTCGCTGAGCTCACCGCTGGGAATCCATCGTCTACCCACGGGGAAGCCCGCGGCGTGTCATGGGGAATTCCGCGGTGTTCCCAGAGGTTTGGGCGGCCGTGGCCTGTTGCCGGACAGAAGACACACTGCGTTTGGGAGCGAGCGATTGGCTCGTGCTTGGATGGGTTTTGGCCGGGGGTTGGCCACCAGTGGCAGGCGGAGTGATGTGGAGATGTGGAGTGGATAGTCTGAGTGTTTGGATCAAGGCCCCATTCGGTTCAGGGGTCTGGGTTTGAATCTTTTTGTCTGATACGTCTGATACTGGGCTTGATCGTTTTCAGCAAAGCCGAGGGTCCTGGACAGAGCTGATCTCTCTGTCCTGATCCCTCTGAGTCTTAGAATGACTCTCTCTGACCTACTGTGAGCCAACCAAAAAGCGCGCGAGGCCATCTCAAAAAGCGTTGGATTCTGCTGACTCCATTGGCTCGGAGATAACTCACTTCGCTCAGTTCGCTCAGTGACCATTTTTGTATACTACAAATCTAGGAACCAAATGAATAGAGAGAAAAAAGAAAAGGATAGTACTAGGAGCAAGAACGCTACTAGGGGCTCCTGGCCTTACTGCTAGGAGCAAGGATGCTACTAGGGGCTCCTGGCCTTACTACTAGGAGCAAGAACGCTACTGGGATCATGTTCGCGCATTATAAATGCTTTTTACTCCGCTAACTCCATTGGCTCGGCTTGGTCTTGGCGAACGGCGAACAGCTGCAGCTGCTAATCTTATCGGTTGGCCTTGGCCACGCGCTCAATCTCATCCTTCTTCCTTGGTCGAACAAGCTGCAAAGTATCTTCAGTAAGTGCTCCAACAGCTCCAAGTCAGACATAATCTAGACCCGGTCAAGTCCACATCTTGCAACCGAGCCACTTGATGGCGTAGCTGTTGGAAGACTCCTTCGCGCAATTCATGATCTCATCTGCAAGGCACTCGGCGATGGACTTGATGTTTCGGAAGGCACTGTTTCGCGCTCCAGTGCAAATGAGATAGATGGCTTGATTCACACGGCGCAGCGGGGACACATCCACAGCCTGACGCCGCACCACACCTGCCGAGCCAACTCGGGTGGAGTCTTCACGAGGACCTCCGTTCTTGACAGCATCCACAAAGACCTGGATGGGGTTCTTGTCTGTGAGGAGGTGGATGATTTCAAAGGCATGCTTGACGATGCGCACTGCCATAAGCTTCTTGCCGTTGTTGCGGCCATGCATCATCATGGAGCACACCAATCGCTCCACAATGGGGCACAACGCTTTCCTGAAGCGTCGCATCTGGTAGCGGCCCTGGGTGTGGGGGAGGAACAACTGCGCAGTCTTGCTCACGGCAATGTAGTCCACCAAGCTCAAGTCCGACAGCATCACGTCCTCATAGGTCCTTAGACAACAGAAGAGCCGTTCTGGAAAGGTGCATGATTCTCTGCAATATGGACATTCGGACAAAAGACACAAAAAGAAGAGCCTGCCCTCCAAACAACAAACATAGTAGGAGGTGAGTTGAACCGCTGAGGGGCCGGGTAGAACTACTTCTATAATTGGTTGATGTATGTTGAATTGTGTTGATGTGGCTTTTGACCCACTAGCTTTCGTGATCTAAAATGACTCCACACGTCTTTTCCAGGAATCCATCTTCCAAAGAGCTTCACTTCAGCCGCCGACATCACGCCTATAGAAGGATTGTAGATCCTCACAGCCTCACAGTTCCTTCTTGAGCCAGCCCTTTGGCAAACATTCATATCGAGTCTGTTCCATTCAACAAACGGACGGAGAGGCCAAAATAGAAAGCTGCCTTGCTTAGCCTGTTCACAGATCACAAACAAGCTTCATCTTCATGCATCCATGACTAAGTAGCAACACGCACTGTAAAAATACACAAGCACACCCAACTAGCAGCAATGCACACACCTGTTTTGCTGTGCTCCAAGGTAGGCTCCCAGACTTGTCTTGCAAATCCTCTCAGCGATTGGCCTTGGCCACGCGCTCAATTTCATCCTTCTTCCTTGGTCGAACAAGCTGCAAAGTATCTTCAGCAAGTGCTCCAACAGCTCCAAGTCAAACATAATCTAGACCCGGTCAAGTCCACATCTTGCAACCAAGCCACTTGATGGCGTAGCTGTTGGAAGACTCCTTCGCGCAATTCATGATCTCATCTGCAAGGCACTCGGCGATGGACTTGATGTTTCGGAAGGCACTGTTTCGCGCTCCAGTGCAAATGAGATAGATGGCTTGATTCACACGGCGCAGCGGGGACACATCCACAGCCTGACGCCGCACCACACCTGCCGAGCCAACTCGGGTGGAGTCTTCACGAGGACCTCCGTTCTTGACAGCATCCACAAAGACCTGGATGGGGTTCTTGTCTGTGAGGAGGTGGATGATTTCAAAGGCATGCTTGACGATGCGCACTGCCATAAGCTTCTTGCCGTTGTTGCGGCCATGCATCATCATGGAACACACCAATCGCTCCACAATGGGGCACAACGCTTTCCTGAAGCGTCG